AACTAAACCTAGCTCAAAGGACTGTAATAAGGGACAATTCAGGAAATGCTTTGGAAATGCTTTCAAATAAGTTAACTAAGCAATATCAACTTGGAAGAACTGCCACATTTCCTAATAGGTAAAACATCACTAAGAACTGAAAGTGATCTCAGTGTCCACAGTCATACCACCCTGAACATGCCTGATCTTGTCTGAAAGTGAACTCAGTGTAGGGCACATTATAAATAAGACCACCCATTCATCATTTTCAGAGTTCACAATCTAATTTCATTTAAACATTCAACAACAGGAATACCACTGAAATAAAGGCCAAACATAAATGGGTGCTTCTCGGTCTTCCACCATAGGAGTCCCTCTTGTGGCCTCTGGGAGCACCAGAATCTCTATGAAACAACTGTACTTATTATATCAGGATGAGAATGAGAGTGCCTGAGCCAAAGGCTGAGTGAGGAATGGGGCACTGGGGTACTAGAACCTAGATTTTTATATGGATATCAATTTCATAAATGCCTCTAAATAATATGACAATACTAATTAAGCCAGTAACAAATAAAATGTACATATGAATTAAAATAAATGTGTTTATAAATATTCCACTGATAGAAGGGAAATAACAGGTCAATGGATAAAATGTGCACCAAAAATGATCTAGCTATGAAAAGTGCTAAGAACTTAGATGAGCTGCAGACATCTTTAAAACCCACACATCCAATACACACCCCCACGCAACCGTCTTGCAACGCTGAATGCTACTAAGTCCACAGAGAGCCTTGGAACAGAAACAAGTCTCACTAGGCATAAGCCCAAGTATGAGAAGCAACACTCAGCACCTGTGGCCAACAGAGAAGTGTGAGAGGAACAGATGGCACACCTGGTTTGATGGTAAAAAACCGATGGCATCAGCAGAACCCAGCAGACGCTTCCCTGTTCAACATCTCCTCGTTTCTGAAGTGTCATCTCACTTCCCATCTAAGTCAAGGCACATCTAAACTTAACCACAGGATTTCTCCTAAGAGAATTTCATATGGGGAAGTGAAGGGAGAGAGAGACCGAGCTGGAACTTGGCCTCGGATTCAACCACAGGATAAGAGACTGCCAAGTGAGGGAAGGCCAACTGGTTTCCAAATCAAGACTGTGAAGACAGGGGTTGGAGCAGCTGGAATGGATTGGGAAGAGAGTGGGAAGCATATGAGAAAAGGCTGGACCCACTGTGGACTCAAAAAAGCTGCAGTAAAGGTTATGGTATTGCCTAATATTGCCAGATGCAGTATTTAGGGGAGATTTTCTTCAGAGAACAGTTTCAAGACTGGCTTTCATTTCCAATAGAAACTAGAATTTTCTACTATTTTTAAGTTTTTCTGAAATGCAAGTCTCTAAGATAGGTGAAGATTCAAACTGTGATCTGTTTACATAACATCTAACCTCATGTAAAACCAACTAAATTCTCATTTCTTCATTCAGGCAACTGAGTACAATCTGTGACCAGTTAAGATCTACACAGAATTCACACTCCAAGTTTATCAGACATAAAAGAACTGCCACATTTTATGTATTTATTATAGATGCTATCACTCTAGCATTTCCTTCTTTTACTTAGTAATTAAAAAGGAGAAGGGATACCAATTTATGCAAACTATATTTTACATATTTAGTGTGGTATTGTAAGAAACTGCCTCCAAAGTTTTCGAATCATTTGCAACTACTCTGTTGCAATACAGAAAGCTGGCTGGGCATGGTGGCTCATGCCTGTAATCCCAGCACTTTGGGAGGCTGAGGGAGGTGGATCGCTTGAGATCAGGAGTTCGAGACCAGCCTGGCCAACATGGTGGAACCCCATCTCTACTAAAAATACAAGAATTAGCCAGGCCTGGTAGCACACGCCTGTAATCCCAGCTACTCGGGAGGCTAAGGCAGGAGAATCACTGGAATCTGGGAGGTAGAGGCTGCAGTGAGCCAAGGTCATGCCACTGCACTCTAGCCTGGGTGACAGAGCAAGACTCCGTCTCAAAAAAAAAAAAAAAAAAGAAAGAAATAAATACAGAAGCCTGCTACTGACAGCTAGGCCTTTTCTGCAAAAGGGCAAGATTCCTAAGGGACTCCCTTCCCTGCTACTCAGGTGGTGATATGCCTTTGAAACTGTCATTAACTCACAGTGTGAGCCTATTATTTGACAGAGCAAGCTGGCAATTGGGGAACAACCGCACCATCCCCCATGATGATACACTGTTTATTATTATCGAGCGGTGCTGCTCAGGAAGTGGTTCCTCAACCACACTATGTGCAGCGAACACTAATGCCCCAGTTGACTGGAGATTTTATTCATTTATTACACTGTGAGCTTGTATTTCTAAATGTATTCATAACAGCATGAAATGACTAATCGGTATATACTCATTAAAGAAACCACTTTCCAACTCATTCTTGGTTTGGGAATTTTACTTCAAGGCTTCTCCTGTAAACCTGGGAAAAGCTCTTAGGTCATTGGTGAGAGGACTTTCCTAACTGACTACAGCTAGCTCTCTGAGCTGAGTTAGAGAGCTTTACATAGCCTTCACCCTAGAAAAAAATGGTTCTCACCTTCCTATTTCACAATTACTCCAGCAAGACAAACCATAGGCCTCAACTCTTGATAAGAATCTAGTTCAAAGAGCAGAAAAGGAAAGTAATATGCAAACACACATGGCCCTCACACTTAAGAAGCCAGGAAGTATAAAGAACAGATATACATATTTAGCTTGATGTGACAGTTCTTTCAAATGCTATCTGAAAAAAATCCCACAGTGAAAACTCCTGACCCAAGCAACTTAAAACTGACACATACCAAGGTAGCACACAATCTTTGTTTTTCAGAACAGTAACAGTGAAAAGCTGAGACCCTCAACAACCTTGAAATCATCAGGTAGCTCAATAAGTCACATAAATAACATTTGTGCAGCACTACTCCACTTGGGGTTTTTTCTTACTCTACATCCCTGATACAATTAAGTCTACCAATACTCATCAGGTCTGGGAACTGCTAGTCTCAGCAGAATACAAGGACTTACCTCGCAGAAGAGGGTAAGCTTGTCATCAGGGAGAAGCCCGTTGGCCTCATCCAAAAGAAAATCTCTACGGATGAATTTCTTGAATCCCCAGTCTTTGCCTTGCACAAACCTATATGCCCGTTGACTCTCTGGGGTGAAAAAAAAAAAAGTCATATTTAAGGTTACGCAAATACTAGATCAAAGCCACAACTTGTCAGTGTATGAAACTTCTGGATGTGAAACTTAAGAGGTGAACAAAGAGGAGAACATTCACCCATAGCTTTGGTTTCTTCTCCCTTGGCATTCAGGATGGAGAATTTGAATTTTGCCCGAACTTCACTCTTTGGACAGCTGACCAGTAACAGGTAAAGTGACAGGTAATCTTTGCTTTCTTCATCTAGCCCTTTGGGGTTTACTCGCAAACACCTGTCCAAAACAGATAGAAAAAAAAAAAATGTCAAAAGCATCCATTTTGATAGAACTGGAACATCAGACTCAAGAGAGGGAGATGTTTAAAAAACAAATCCAGGCCTCAAAGAAGAATATAATTCAGTAGAATAACCAGCTGGGAACAACTTTTTTTTCTTTTTTTTTTGAGACAGGGTCTTACTCTGTCATTCAGGCTAGAGTACAGTGGTATGATCATGGCTTACTGCAACCTCGATCTCCCTGGTCTCAGGTGATCCTCCCATCCCAGCCTCCTGAGTAGCTGGGACTACAGATGTGCACCACCATGGCCAGCTAATTTTTGTAGAGATGGGGTTTCGCCATATTGCCCAGGCTGGTCTTGAATGCCTGAGCTCAAGCAATCCGTCTGCCTCAGCCTCCCAGAGTGCTGGGATTACAGGAATAAGCAACCACACCCGGCTGGGAACCACTTTTCTAGAGCAAAATGGGTCACCTTTTAAAAAGTAAACAACAGACTGGGTGCCATGGCTCACCCCTGTAATCTCAGCACTTTGGGAGGCCAAAGCAGGCGCATCACTTGAGGTCAGGAGTTCGAGGCCAGCCTGGCCAACATGGTGAAACCCTGTCTCTACTAAAAATAAAAAATAAAAAATAAAGAAAAAAACTAGCTGGGCGTGGTGGCAGGCACCTGTAATCCCAGCTACTCGGGAGGCTGAGGCAGGAGAATCGCCTGAACCTGGGAGGCAGAAGTTGCAGTGAGCTGAGATCGTGCCATTGCACTCCAGCCTGGGTAATAGGAGTGAAACTCCATCTCAAAAAAGAAAAAAAGAAAAAGAAAAAAAAGAAATGTGTGGGCCAGGCACGGTGGCTCATGCCTGTAATCCCAGCACTTTGGGAGTCCAAGGCGGGCAGATCACTTAAGTTTGAGAACAGCCTGACCAATATGGTCTGAAACCCGGTCTCTACTGAAAATACCAGGTGTGCTGGCAGGCACCTGTAATCCCTGCTTCTCCGGAGGCTGAGGCAGGAGAATCGCTTTAACGCAGAAGGCAGAGGTTGCAGTGAGCCGAGATTGCACCACTGCACTTCAGCCTGGGCAATAAGAGTGAGACTGTCTCAAAAAAGAAAAAAAAAAAGTGTGAATAATCTTTTATAGATAATAATAATATACATAATCTTTTAAAGATATTTTCCCAATCTGGCAATAATATTCTAAGACTAAAATAAAAGATGCAATATGAAGGAAGCACAGACAAAAGTAAATTCTCATTACATGGCACAGAATTCCAGGCCAGACTTCTAAATAGTGTTAGAGACGCCAATCTGTTACGGAGAGATCAAAACAAAATTCAGACAGAATAGGTTCAACTAAGTTGTAAATGTCATTAGTCAAATGCATGGGTTTCAGACACTGCTTCTACCACATGCAATGCATAGGTCACATGTATCCTTAGGCCTTGTCTGTATTATTGAACCTCTCTCAAACAGGTGGCCCAATCCAGTGTCTCTCTAGGGAGTGCATATGCCACATACATTACTATACGCCTTGCTAATGATGAGGATTTAAATACGATGTCTAAGAATAAACATCTCTCTCAACACTTAGTAGTAAAATGCACAATATATAGCCAACGAATACTAAATTAATGAAAAATAGCTTTTGGTGGGTTATCAGAGGTCAAAACTGGCGGTTCAGAGACATGTGTTTGGTCTTTGCAGTGGGTATATGGTTGTATCCTCAACTGCCTGCTCCTCAGGCAAGATGACACACAGTCTGTATGAGACTGATCCCCACTCCTCGATCATATTTTCCCTGTTCCAGGGATTAGTTCAGGGAATGCAGACATAAAACAATTGGTGCATGTACGACATATTCCTGGCCACACAGTTCAGCGAAAGCTCAAAGACTTTCGCTGGCATGTAGTAGATTATACCCACTGCTACTGCCAGTCACCCTTCAAGCACAAGAGAAGCTAGACCTGAGATGTCCAAGAGCGTGGAGAGCAGGGCCAGGACAGAGATGGTGTTCTTACTCTAACCACTGGCTTGCTGGATCAAGCTACCTTCAAACCCAACCCATACCCTGTCAATACAGTTACATAAGCAAATAAATCCCCTTTCCTGTTTAAAAGCAGGCAACTTAAAAGTAAAGAGATTTTTATGTTAAAATCTAGATTTCTTGCTTTTCCTGAAAAATCAGAAAATCTGGCAAGGGTCAGTCCTTACTCATGCATAGCTATAGTTAGCTGGAGCTGAGTAGCCAGCATCTCTTTTAGAACACTCACTAGTTTGCCAAGCAGTCACCAGTCATTCCATTTATGGGTATCATTTATAACACTGGCCTTCTTTATTTATTTGCATTACCCTATAGCTTGAGTTTGCTGATTTCTGATACACTCATTGAATTAATTCAACAAATATTTAGTGAGTACCTATTATGTGCTAGGCACTGGGAAATACAGTAAGAACAAAACAAAAGTCCCGGCCCTCATGGAAATTACATTCTTATCAGTGTCCCATAAAAACAAACAAAAGAGACAACTTCAGAAAAATTTTTACAGCTAGACGTATTCTTCCTCACCATTTCAGTTTATCATTGGCTCCTGATGAAAAGGTAGAACTTTTAATGACTTCACCCATTTCCTCCCGGCAAAAGCTAAAGTTATTGATGGTCCACATGTAGGAGAATTTTACTACCTTGATCTGTTAATAGAAAAACAGGAAGGAATTAAACAGGAAGTGGACAACCTGAAGAAAAAGGCTGAAGAGCAGATTATCATTTCCCCTCCCTCCCTCTGCATGATCCTGATAGGAAGATAGCAGTCAGGTTTTTCTCACCTTAGGTTTCTCATCCACATTTTAAGAAATTTCATACTGACCAATAGCTTTTATAACTTTTTTCAGCTGCTGAGAACACTGGATGGAAAGTGAGAGAAACATAGACAGGGAAAAAAAACAAAAAACAAAAAAACCCACCACCACCATGGACAGGGCTGGGAAAGCATATGATAAAACCGTACTTAAAATGGGTCTCTGTTACTAAAATGGTGATGTCACTGCCTGGGGTTGCACATCTCAAACTTGTTTCCCCAACAGAGGAAACTTAGAACACACTTTCATCAAGGGCAATGTAACCAGATCTAGTTTCAAAGATTCCCCCTTTCAACCTCCACTGAAAAACACTAGCCTAGGGAATTTAGATTCCACATGGAAAACTAAGGCACCTGAGGCTAACAAGTACCTTATCTATCTGCTCTTTGGCAGTTATGTTCCAGAGAAAGCAGGAAGTCCAATGTGGAAAAGCAATCCTACTCCTTTCGTCCACCAAATCCTCCCCAGATGCAAGATTCACAGGGTGAAAACGTCAACTTACCTGTGTGTAGCACCAACTCTCAGCTACGGGACCACTCGACATTTCTGCCGGAGGTGGAGGACTTGGAACCCTTGACATCGCCAGTTTGAAGGTTAAACGAGATTTCCAAAGTCAGGGAGCAAAGATTTCTGTTCCCTCTTCACCCTGGTCAGATCCAAGAGCAAGAAGACTTTATTAAATTATTGAGATACTATCCTAACTATTGTTTGACCTGCTAGAGACTGGAAGTTTTGTCTCCATATTGTTTGAGTGGCTCCTTACCATTGAGGTCCTAATTTTTTTTTTTTTTTCCCCTGAGATGGAGTTTCACTCTTGTTGACCAGACTGGAGTGCAATGGTGTGATCTCGGCTCACTGCAACCTCCACCTTTCCTGGGTTCAAGTGATTCTCCTGCCTAAGCCTCCTAAGCTGGGATTACAGGCATGCACCACCACGCTTGGCTAATTGTGTATTTTTAGTAGAGATGGGGTTTCTCCATATTAGTCAGGCTGGTCTTGAACTCCCGACCTCAGGTGATCCACCCGCCTCGGCCTTCCAAAGTGTTGGGATTACAGGCGTGAGCCACCGTGCCCGGCTGAGGTCCTAAATTTAAATGTTAACGTCAGAGAAGACTATCTAATGTAAAGCAGTCACCTAGTCACAATTATATTACCCTATACATCTGCACAATACTCAATAACTATATTGCTGAATGAATTTACTCGAAGGGTATTTAAAGTGTATCTATGAAAAGGCTGCCTGAAGAGGAGACAGCATCATTAACACCAGACATAACTTGCCATGGGCTCCTTCCTTTGGGGTACAAATACTCTACTCCTAAAGCAAAATGACCTTGTTACCCTCTCTAAGTTTGCTTCATCTTCTCCTATGCTTCACTGCAAACTTAAGGAGTCTTCTATTCCTCAACCCATTGCTAGCTGCTCTCTTGAAGGGGAATATTTTTACACCTTTCTTAGATGTATTCCTTTCTCTGAAGCATTCGTGATCTCTCCCTGCTTACATTCCTGTCACTACTTGATATTTCAGATTCTTCTCCTTGCTCTCTGTTTTGTGATCATTCCTCAGTTTCTTTTACTAGATTATCTTCGTCCACTGTTGCTCCCCATGGTTTAATCCTCAATCATTTTCTCAATCTACATTCTCTTTATGTCAATTTTTTGTTTTTTCATCAGTCAGACATATCTTTATGGCAATTTCATCCATCCCAACAATGTCAAATTTCTACCTTTATACAAATGTTTTCCAAATCTCTACAACTCTCACCTCTCTCATAAGCCTCAGACCATTCTCCAATAACTGCTATATATCTCAATGGGGTGTCTCAGTAGCATATCAAATCTAACTCAAAATTCTTCCCTCCAAAGCCTTTCTAAATACCAAAGTCATTCAAAAAACTGGTGAACTTGGGGATGAGGGAGTAGACTGGGGAGATGTAGGTTCAAGGGATACAAAGTTGCAGATGGGTAAGATTAATCCATCTAGAGAAGATCTACTGTACAACATGAGGGTTATAATTAATAATATTGTATTGTATAATGGAAGTTTGCCAGAAGAGATTTTAGGTGCTTTTACCACCTATGCGTGCACATGCACACACACGTGCACACATACGTGCACACACACACACGTACACACAAAAGGTAACTGTCAGATAATGGATATGTTAATTGGTTTGACTATAGTAATCATTTCACTATGCATATGCAAATCAAAATATTATGTTGCATACCTCAAATATATACAATTTTTACTTTTTTTTTTGAGACAGGGTCTCACTTTGTAACCCCGGCTGCAGTACAGTGGCTCGATCTTGGCTCACTACAACCTCTGCCTCCCAGGCTCAAGCAATCCTCACCCTCCTGAGTAGCTGGGACAACAGGCATGCACCACCATATCACCTTGCTAATTTTTTGTATTTTTTTGTGGAGACAGGGTTCTGCCATGTTGCCCAGGCTGGTCTTGAACTCCCAGACTCAAACAGTACGCCCACCTTGGCCTCCCAAAGTGCTAGGATTACAGGGATGAGCTACCACATCTGGCCACAATTTTTTTTAATTGGTGAATTTGGTTACAATTTCTAAGCACCATAAACAAAGACAAAAGACTACCAAAAAAAAAAAAAAAAAGCTTGTAACGTATGACAAAGGGACTGAATAAAAAATTGATATATAAATTGTTTCTGTGAAATCAATTGGGTGTATCTAGTACAGTGGAAAATACATGTACCCTAAAACTTACTAATTCCACTTTCAACGATACATGTGCTAGAGCTGTGATTCTGAAGTGTAGAGTGGACCAGAATCTCCTTTTAAACAGATTGCCGGCCCCACCCCCAGAGTTTCTGATTCAGAGACTTGGGATGGGCCCAAGTTTGCATTTCTAACAAGTTCCCAGATAATCCTTTGAGAACTGCTGCCCTAGAGAAACTCTACATGTGGCCACAAAATGCAGACAAGGGTTTTCAATGTGGCACCGTTAATAACAGTGAAAAACTAGAAACAAACTAAAAATCCTTTAGTAGGGGAATAGATAACTAATTTGTATTATTTCCATATAATGGAAAACTATACTTCAGAATTTAAAATTAATGAACTAGGCTGGGCGCAGTGGCTCACACCTGTAATCCCAGCACTTTGGGAGGCTGAGGCAGGCAGATCACCTGAGGTTGGGAGTTTGAGACCAGCCTGACCAACATGGAGAAATCCTGTCTCTACTAAAAATGCAAAATTAGCCAGGCGCGGTGGCTCACGCCTGTGATCCCAGCACTTTGAGAGGCCGAGGCTGGCGGATCACGAGGTCAGAAGATCGAGATCATCCTGGCTAACACGGTGAAACCCCGTCTCTGCTAAAAATACAAAAAATTAGCCGGGCGTGGTGGCGGGCGCCTGTAGTCCCAGCTACTCAGGAGGCTGAGATCGCGTGAACCCGGGAGGCAGAGCTTGCAGTGAGCCGAGATTGCGCCACTGCACTCCAGCCTGGGCGATGAGCAAGACTCCATCTCAAAAAATAAATAAATAAAATAAAATAAAATAAAATAAAAATGCAAAATTAGCCGGCTGTGGTGGCGTGCGCCTGTCATCCCAGCTACTCGGGAGGCTGAGGCAGGAGAATCGCTTGAACCCGGGAGGCGGAGGTTGTGGTGGGCCGAGATTGCACCATTGCACTCCAGCCTGGGCAACAAGAGCGAAGCTCCATCTCAAAAAATAAAATAAAATAAAATAAAAGAACTAGATCTACAGCACCATGGCCATCAAACACAGCGCTAATAAAAAAAGCAAGTTTAGGAATGACATGTACAGTATATTATTTATGCAAATTTAAGGTTTATATATGATGTAGTAAAAGTAAACAACAACAACAACAAAAACCCAGCCTTGACAGCCTATATATCAGTTTCATATTGGGAGAAGGAGGGAGAAGGAGGAGACTGGGAAAATAATATAAGATACTTCAAGTTTATCTCTTGTGATTCTTTTAAAACAAGGATACAAGGAAAATATGATAATACAAATATCTGTTAATTAGGGATGACAGGTACTTGGGTATAAACTACTTTTTGTAGTGTTCTGCATTATTTTTATTGTTTTCATATTGGAGCAATTGTGTAAGGATGTATTCCATTATATCACACATCTCTGGTTTATAATATACAAGGGAGAAATTTCCTGAGCACCTAGTTTGTTTTCAAAGGCCAAACAACATGAATCTTATAACTGATCATGTTGCCCTCCTTGCTTGGCTACTAGGAAATCCTGAGACAAGTTTGTGACTCATCTCTTAAAACTGTAAGCCCATATGCCTGTTTTATATGCTATATTTTATACAGAATCATATGTTCATTCTATAATAGTTTTATTTTCTTAATTATTCCCTTCGATATAATTCTCTCAACTTTTAATCTTTTATATGTTAAGTATTTTTGGAATCTGCCTCAAATCCTTTGCAGAAAGAGGTATAACATGGTGGCTCATGCCTGTAATCCCTGGACTTTGGAAGGCCAAGGCAGGCGGGTCACCTGAGGTCAGGAGTTCAAAACCAGCCTGGCCAACATGGCGAAACCCCATCTCTACTAAAAATACAAAAATAAGCCGGGTGTGACAATGCACACCTGTAATCCCAGCTACTTGGGAGGCTGAGACAGAGAATCGCTAGAACTCAGGAGGTGGAGGTGAAGGTGGAGTTTGCAATGAGCCAAGATGGCGCCATTGTACTCTAGCCTGGGAGACAGAGGGGGAAAAAAAAAAAAAGTAACAACAAATCACACAATAACTCAACTCACAAATATTCACTGATTCGCTGACTACTTAAATAATAAACAAGGAGATTAATAAACTACAAGTGCGCCTTCACAGAGTAATACTCATAAATAGATGTTATTTCCATGGTCATAAATGCTATCTTACAGGAATTGACTTTTTTTTTTTTTTTTTTGAGACGGAACCTCGCTCTGTGGCCCAGGCTGGAGTGCAGTGGTGATCTTGGCTCACTGCAAGGTCCGCCTCCCAGGTACATGCCATTCTCCTGCCTCAGCCTCCTTAGTAGCTGGGACTATAGGCGCCCGCCACCATGCCCAGCTAATTTTTGTATTTTTAGTAGAGATGGGGTTTCACCGTGTTAGCCAGGATGGTCTCCATCTCCTGACCTCATGATCTCAGTCTCCTAAAGTGCTGGGATTACAGGCATGAGCCACCACGCCCGGCCAGGAATTTACAATTAAGGCATCTGTGAAATCACAGATGAAGCTAACATGGTGTGCTATCTCACTTAAGCTAGCAAACTAAGCACTGCAGTGGCATTTGGGCTTCCCTGGCTTGTGTAATTCATGATTCCATGATAACATGAAGAAAAGAGGCCAAATGCTACTGTGGTCACCTCCAAGACAGGCTTGCATTTGATGGAAAACACATTCTCAAAGAACTGTTTTATTTTTCCATTAATGAGTAAGTATAAATTAGCTAGTTTTACAAATCCCAATTATCATTAATGGCCAGAGTGAAATTTCAAAATTCCTACTTTGGGAGAGGGTGCAATGAAGGTTTGATTTTATGCGTTAGTTAAGAACAAAAAATTTGGCTCTGGAGAGGTGGATTATAGGCACAGCTCTACACTGAGTAATCATAAAATACTAATTTGAACTTATTTTG